CACACACACACGCACACACACACACACACACACACACACACACACACACACACACACACACACACACACATGCACAGACACACGCACATACAGATTCTGCGTAAACATTGTTCTGCTGTATTACATGATTTCATACCCTTGCTTCTGAGCACTTTGCTTGCACTCTTTGCTTTGCTGCAAGTTGTCCTCCAATCCGTTTGTCAGAGATTTCGGTCATGTGTTGGGGGCTTGTTACTGAATGCGGCATTCATAGGAAATTGATTGCTTGGGAATAGTACAACTGATTCAAAAACAAAAAAGAACAGAACAGTACAACTGTACAACTGAAGTACTTGTCAGCCTGGGGAATTGGAATGGGCCTTTGGTATTAGATGTGGCACAACTGATGGTTCCGTAAACTTAAAATTTGAAAACTGATGGTTCAACTTCAAATTAGTACAACTGAATGCCTTACTGGCTTTTTTTCTGAGTGAGGACTACGACATTATTTTGGCTCACCGGCGGAAGGGAAGAGCCTGGTAGAGCACGCCGCCGCTCTCGCGATGGATAGGACTTTCTCTTATTCCCTTTAAGAAAGCAATTATATTATTTTTATATATACAATTACAATCGATTCAATAAATACAGTCGCGGAATCTATTGAAGTGTCAGATTGTGAATTTGAAAACATGGGTTCAACTCCTGTTATTCGCCTCTTGCATCTGAACTCTGGCGAGCCTAAAAAGCTGGTGTCAAGACAGTTATTCATTGACTGAAGTCAATGAATCTAAGTTAATTGATTCAAACAACCACATAAAGAGTGAGTTGGGTACAACATATAAACAAAAAATTGCTGAGATATAGAGACTTTTTCTAAAGTAGTACTTTTTATATCCATGTGATTGTTTTAGACATGTTCTGAACGATGTCGTAGTTCCAACTACATCCTCCGCAAGAAAGTCAAAATCGGCGCACTTAACAGCCATTTGCTCTAACCACTGAGCTACTAGAGACCTTTTTATTGTCGTATTTTTTTGATAGTCTTGAAAATCTATCATATTTTGTTGAAAAACGTCTTGTCTTTTTACTTAAGTAGTCTTATGCATGGTAAGTACTATAGCTCCAATCATGGCCACTAATAAAATAAGACCGTTTTTTCTCTTCTTCTTCTTCTTCTTCAGAATTCAAATATTTTTCTTAGTCTTCGTATCTTCTTCGTATCGCCTTCTTCCTCATGTGTTCTTGTTCTTCTTTTTCTTCTTCTTCTTCTTCTTCTTCTTCTTCTTCTTTGTCCTCTTCTAAGCTTCTTCTTATTCTTCCTTTTTCCTCCATCTCCCACCTTCTTCTTCCTTTTTCCTTCGTCTCCCACCTTCTTCTTCTTCTTTTTCTTCTACTTCTTTCCCCTCCCATGCCTCCTTGTTATCCTTTTCTTCCACCCCCTCGCTCCCCTCCTCCGCCATATCTTTTTCTTCTTCTTCTTCTTCTTCTTCTTCTTCTTTTTTCCCCTCCCCCTGCCATATCTATTTCCTCCTCCTCCTCCTCCTCCTCCTCCTCCTCCTTTTCCTCCTCCTCCGCCATATCTTCTTCTTCTTCTTCTTCTTCTTCTTTCCCTTCCCCCCGCCATATGTATCTCCTCCTGAGTGTTATATCAGCAGCTGTCTGTCTATCTGTCCGTCTGTCTTTTTGTCCGTCTGTCCGTCTGTCTGTCTATCTTTCTTTCTGTCTGTATGTTGTTTTGTTTGTCTGTCCGTCTGTCTGTCTTTCTTTTTGTCTGTATGTCGTTTTGTTTGTTTGTCTGTCTGTGTGTCTGTATTTCTGTCTGTCTGTCTGTCTGTCTGTCTGTCTGTCTAGCTTTTTGTCTGTCTGTCTTTCTGTCTGTCTGTCTGTCTGTCTCTCTGTCTTTTTGTCTTTTTGTCTTTTTGTCTTTTTGTCTTTTTGTCTGTCCGTCTATCTGTCTCTCTATTTCTCTTTTTGTATGTTTGTTCTTTGTTTGTCTGACTGTCTTTCTTCATCTTCTTCTTCTTCCTCCTCTTCTTCTTCTTCAAATCTTCTTCTTCTTATTCTTCTTTTTTCCCTTCCCCCC